AAAATTCTTCCTATAAGAGTATAAAGGAGTAACAGACTCCATGAATTAATCCTTCTCTAACTATGTTGTGACCAAATTCAACGGCGATGCCCAAGAGGAGTGGAATTGGCAGAGTTAAGACATCAATCATAGTTTCGCTCGACCATGAACTGGTGTACGATATCCGCCTCATTCACATCCTCATCAGCAACGAATGGCCACAAATAAGTAGAATTTTGGATGTTCAACTCCTCCAGTCTCGCCGCTGCGGTTTCTCTCAAGTCGTTAAGCGCCATAGTATATTCCACCAGCTCAACAAGAGTCAAGTTCTCAATCGGCTGATCCCACCAAAACCCAGCATTATCTTCTTCAACTTCTTTTTGCTTTGGCAACGGATTACTATCAGATGAGTCAGCGAGATATCGATCAAGAACAGCATCTACACCATCCGTGGTGTATACTCTTCCGGATTTTGATAATGCCAGGATAGCAACTTCCGCACCGCATAAAGTTGAAACCTCTGTGGCTTTTTTGAACAACCCTTTTCTGCGTTTGGAGAACGTTACTTGGCGTTTGCTTTCATCTTCCAGTTTCTTGATTTCAATTCGTTGACGACCTCGACTCTTCTTTGTCGTCGTTGCATCTGTTGTATTTGATGCACTATCCATGACGACTAATAAACACAGAGCCAAATAAGAGCAAATTATTAAAACAACGTTGAGCTTTTTAAGTTGTTACGTGTTTTTGGATTCTAAAGAAAACCTGCTTGGATCTATATATATAATTTACCTAATAACCTAGTTTGTACAAAAAGAAACAACCTAGCTTGTACAAGAAGAAACAGCCTAACTTGTTTCTTAGCACCTATGACAGCCTTGCAACGTGAATTTCCTTTTATAATAATAATAATAATACACAACAAAATAGCAATGGTTACCAATGGCGGAAACTGGAGAAAGAAAGAAATTAGTTACATGTCTCTAATAACTACATAAAAAAGGTTACAGAAGTGGAAGACTTGTATTTGAAACCGGGCCAAAATTTAGACTCCATTTTGTTCATGAATCTCAAAAGTTAAATTTAGCCTGTTTAAGTCAGGCTTTCACTAATGTAAGGGCTTGGCTCTCAATCAGGTCCAGCCATCCAGGCTTTCTATGACATCAGCCTAAGCCCAGCACACGTCAAGAATCGTGTACCATTGTCTACTATGCTGAGATAGGTACCCTTTCAAGATTATAAATATTATTAGGTGATGTTTGTTACTTTATAATATAATATGATTACAGGTAATATTAATATAAGTAATATGATTATAAGTAATGTAATTATAAATAATGTTATTACAGAGAAAATAATATTACAGTGTTTAGTATACAAGCAAAATAATAATTAAAATACAGAGAAAATAACATTGCAGGTTTGGTTTACAAGTACTTTAACGGGAATGTAATGTTAATTTTTAAAATTATCTCTAGTTATTAAAATATAAGTTTAATATATTTATATTTTTTATTATTAATTTTTATATAATATCAATCTCTTAAATATACTTTTAATGTCATATATTTTATTTTTATTTATTATTATAATTTATATATTTTATTTTTATTTTTTAATATAATTTTATATTATATATTTTATTTTAATTTATTTTAC